GAGGGCAGTGTCACTGGCCCTCATATGTGGGATCCGAACCGGGGCCCTCTGGCATCCCAAGCCAGTTCTTAACCATTGCGCCCCTCGGCCGGCCCTACCATGCTCTTTTGATTATGATAGCCTTGTGGTATAATTTGATATCAGGTAGCATGATATCTCCAACTTTTGTTCATCTTTCCCAAGACTGCTGTGGCTATTCAGGGCCTTTTGTGGATTCACATAAATTTTAGGATTATTTGTTCTAGTTCTGAAAAATCTTAGTGTTAATTGGAGGCTGACTGTCCTCGGGCTTGTTGGTCTCAGAGGTACAATTTCCCATGTTAATTTTAATTTTTCCTTTGAAATCTGTAGAGTCTCAACAAACTTCTAGGGAAAACCAGCCTTTATGTTCACATCTCTAGGCAAGCCAAATGCAGTCAATATCCCTTGTTGATGTAAGGACATCCAAACCTGTAGAGAATTTTTATGAGAATTTATTTGAGCCAAACTGATGATGATTGCTGGGAAGCAAGGTCTTGAATGCTCCAGAGAATCACAGTTTGCAGTTTCTTTTATGCATTTGGAATTAAAAAGGAAGGTTTACATGAAGGTGGGAGAAAGCAAGGTGGGGGTTGGATTATAGGATAGTTAAGATTATGTGTTCCCTTATGAGTGAATATGCTTATTTCAAAGGTGTATTAACCTACATGCACAAAAACAATGGATAGGACTTGCTTAAAGCAAAGATAAACCTTTGACTAAAGAAGTTATAGGCCTTGGGTATGACTACCCACTATGAGCTGTCCTGCTAGCAATTTATGATCAGGCATCATGTGAGGTTACTTTCTGTGGAACCTCTTTTTCATCTACAAATGGATGCATTTTATTGTATGTAAAGTATATACTTCAGTAAAGCTTTTGTTTTTTATATAAATTACAAAAAATGTTTATGTGGAATCTAAAGAACACATAAATGAACAAACAAAACAGAAACAGACTCATAGATACAGAGAACAAACTGATGGTTGCCAGAGGAGAGGACAGTTGGGGAACTGGGTGAAGAAGATGAAGGGATTAAGACATACAAATTGGTAGTTACAAAACAGTCACAGGGATTTGCAACAACTATGTATAGTGCCAGATGGGTACTAGACTAATTGGGGGATCACTACATAAATTATATAAATGTCTAATCACTATGCTGTACACCTGAAACTAATGTAAAATAATATTGAATATCAACTGTAACTGAAAAAAAAATTTTAATAGTCAGAGAAGATGTTAATATGCATCCATGTACACATCACCTAGAATTAATAAATGTTAAACATTTTGTCATTTGCTTTATCTTTTTTTCCTATAGAAGAAATGAAGTATTACAGATAAAGGTGAAGCCTTCTTAGTTCTCTGACCTATTTACCACCCCTTCCCACTGGCAAGCACATTCATATAGTTCTGTTTCCTTTTTGTCCATTTAAACAATATATTAACAGACATCTTTATTTTATTGATGAAAATGTCAAAGCTTAACCAGAACTAGTGCATAGGCCATAGTTAAACAAGGAGTTAGGAGCACAGCTGATAATGAAGTTCTCAGTTTTATGTTCATTCCCCAGGGCTGTGTTACCTAACCTGTGTTTGAGGAGTTGCTAATGTAGTTTATGTCATTAGGAGAAGGTTTACACTGCTCTTTAGCCTCAGCTTTCAACATGACTATAATGTAGCACAAATGGGAAGTTAGTGTGTTATGATGTTTCTCTAAGTGTTTAAAATGGACTACTTGGAAACTTTCAAATCCAAGATTAATGTGATTTTTATTGATATAGCCATTGGATATCAGTTTGATTGCAATTCAGCCAGAATGCAAATATTTATGTATTTCACTCTAATTTGGCCATATATATAGATTACTAGATTTTCAAAGCAGCTAACATCGTTGAATCCCAATGCTTCAAAGTAAAATAAGCTGGCTGCATTTGACTGTTTTATATTAAAAGGGTTCAGAGCAGGCCATCCCAAAATATGCCATTTTGGCATATTGATTATTGATTATTTTCCACTGAAATTGAAACCGGAGGCCAACTGAGTCCAGGGTTCATGGTGCCTGCACCACTCAGCCAATAGACCAACACAGGAGCTGGGCCATAGAAAAAGCTTTTATTATCAGAGCACTGGTGGTCTGAGAAGACAGCAGGTTAGCAGCTCCACAAACTGCCTTAACATTCTCAGACCAGCTTGGGGTATTTAAGGGAAAATCTGGGCGTTCCTCCAGAGGCTAAGTGATGGTTCCAGGGATCTGCATGGAGCCTTCCCTGTGGCCACGTAACTCTGTGGTGGTGTCAGCAACCCAGGAACAATGATGGGAGTAGCCTGGAAAGAAGGCTAGCCTATAGAGATTGTGATCTATAAGCCTAAGGGTATTAATCATAAGTTTCAGGGTAATTTTCTAAAACAGAGAAGTGGGTGGGAAGGGACATTGGGTTGAGCTATTGTTAAGCTATAGGTAGGTCAAGGAAAAGTGAGGCCAGGGACACAGAGAGGCCTCTACTGTGGGGGTACCAACCAGGCCCTGCTTCAAAATCACTTGAGAAACAGCAGATTCCAGAAGGACTCTTAGCTCTCCCCTTTTCTACCTAAAAGCAGGTCATAAAATTTTCCATGGGAGGGCCGGCCAAGTGGCGTGATGGTTAAGAACTGGCTTGGGATGCCAGAGAGCCCCGATTCGGATCCCACATATGAGGGTCAGTGACACTGCCCTCCACAGCTAAGATGCTGAACAACAGCTCAACCTGGAGCTGGGCTGCCGTGAGTCGCCGGCGACGGCATAGGCT